CCTATCTCCCTGGCTGTGGCAGCTTGCTTCAGGGCTCCCTGGGAACTAAATGAAGTAGCTCACCCATAGCAGGGAGCAGGAACATGACTGGCAGGACAGTTATGGAATGACAGTTTATCTGGTATTTTGAGCTAAAAACCTCCAACCGCCCCCTCCAAATTATCCCTTAGTGCTACTTATCTATCATACAGATCTTGGCCAAGTGTTTCATGGTACTGACACAGCCCACTCCAAAAGTGTGCTAAACCTGAGGAGGGAAGATGGGAGCTAGCACACAGTGACCACTGTAGGCCTTGGGCTTTCTTCCACATGTGCTCCACAAAGAAAGGACAGCAATAACTGCAGGAGATAACACAGGCTTGTCTGACAAGCAGTAGTAGGGTCTAGGAAGGAACTGGCCCTTATGTCATTCCAGAGCCCTTCAGCAAAACTCTCATCCTCTGCCTAGACAAACCATCCCTCTCAGCACACAGACATACTTCAGCAACAATGAAAACGGAGTATCTTATTTGTTGGATATCCTGGACTCTGGCCAGTGAAGGTAAAGTCTGCAACTCTACTGAAGTCAGTATAAAAAGCAGAAGGCAGTCTTCAGGCATTATTCCTGCAGGGATGCATTACAGCAGTCTATGATAGCAAAGTGCCTGACGTGATAGAAGGTTTGTCCCAAAGAACACAAAACTGTTGGAATCCAGATGGAAGATGCCACAAACACGAAGAGATGAGATCTTAGTATTTTGACAATATTAGCAGTTGGAAACACTCATCAAAACCAGTAGATCTCTTGAAAGCTCTTACAAGGAACAAACATGGGGAAGTCAAGAATACAAAATCTTTTACATCACCTCCTAATTCAGATACTAGCACAAAGTCTACTGCAGCACTGCCTGCTGAGTAAGGCAGTCTTGATACTCCTTTTTATTGTTGAATCTGTGCTTTGTCCTTTTGCTATTTCTTTTGCAAGCTCCTTCTCCCTGTAAATCTTTCCAGAACCTTCATACATTTCCTTAAAACTCCTCTCAGTTCCTGGTAGCACCCAGGTAGTTGGTGTCCTGCCACCACGGCTCAGAATGATGGCCATTGCTTCCTTCTTCTTTCTAATGTATCGACGTGTTATCCATAAACTATTGTCTAAAATGTAATTAGTTTTCTTTGACAGCTTTTTTCTTTCTCCTGCACTACACAGTGTTGGTACAACAGGGAAGAGGTCACAAATACATCCACAATACAAATAAAGTATCAACGTAATTATTGTATATTCACTAGCAAGAAGGCCATAACAACAACTGGCCTTCATACACATATATCTCTAAAATTCAAGCACATTTTTTTCTCTTACATAATTAGCTACAAGGAAAAAAAAGTTAACAAACTATTATTAGCATCTCAAAGAAAAGCATTCAGAAGTTAGAAAATGCGAGAATTGAGGTTGCTGGGGCAACCTTTGATTCATCCCATTGGTCACAGGCTTATGATACAAAGCTTAATTCTATAATCAAACACTTTGTTTTCTGTAGGTTCCATGTCTCAGTTAAGCTCTCCCAGGCTTACAAGCATGAACAGAGTTCAGACAATAACTTGCTGCCAGTATTTAGGTTTATGTTACTCAGCATCTTGAGGCTTTTTTTTCCTTTTCAATGCATACCCTAAATCAGACACCCAGCAATTAACACTTCAAACTGTCACATTTTAGCAAAATCTGTACAAACAGAAGATGGTCTTGCTACAGAAAAAAATCACCAGTCTTCTGGAATCTCGCTCATAAACTGTGGTACTCTTCCCACCTTTAATAACAATAATAATTAACAAGAAAAGGAGTGTGAATAATTAAGAGGAACTTATTTTGGGAAAAAAGAGAAAATGTTGCTAGGGAACTAAGGAACGGGTAGGAGGCATTAAGGAGTGTAAGGAGTTTCTCACCTGCAAGTCACTGTCTTAACTCTGACCAGTCTGGGAGATGCTCCGCTGCTACACCAAAAAATGCCAGAGAGAGAATCTGGGCATGCTAAATATATTTTACTCTGATTACTGTCTACATTAAATAAATTAACAGATTAACATATTTGCCACAGTAAAAAGGTACTAGAAGTTCTAACAGTCATAATACCTACAAAGTCAGGATACAGAAAACTCCAGGGACTGTTCTTTTCTGGACCTTTCTTCCAGGAT